AAGAAAGTTGAAGATGATCCCCAATTTGGGGTCTTGAGCAGCCGGATGAAAGGAAATATAATTTTCTGTGTAGAAGAATCCTGTGGTTAGAATAGGTGTGGGAAGGGATGTCGATCAAAGTTCTGTCTGGGCTACTCTGAGATGTCTTTCAGGTGTGTATAAGCAGCCATGTCCAAGAGGTAGAGGGCACGCGGATCTGGAGCTCAGAAAAGGTCAAGTGTTTCCTGTGGCTGACTTCCCTGCCCCACCCCAACTTCCCTGTCTCACCTCACTCCTAGGCAGATTAGCTAGAACCAGAGCTAAGGTCTCTGGCCTTTTGGTTTCAGCATGCACCTGGAGGAAAGGGGTGGTATCTCCAGCATGTGCTATGAACAGCACCTGGGGATCCCCACTTCTACAAACCCTCAGAGCAGAGCACATTCTCCCAGGGCTCAGAGGCAGCCCCTTAAGGCCAGCTGAAAGACAAGTTAATCTTCTGACCTCTCATATCATGTTACTTCCTCACCTTAACTCCTATTGCCTATGTTATAGTTTATAATAGAGGTCCCTGACTCATGGTGAGGATTCACAATGGAGATACCAGGGAATCCAGGATCTTGTCCGTGCTAAGCACATGCTCTACTCATGTTGCCTCAACTTAGCAATTTTTTTGACTTTACAATGATGTGAAGATGACATACATTCAGTAGAGACTCCACTTTGCATTTTGAATTTGGATCTTTTCCTGAGCTAGTGATGCACAATGAGACAGTTCTCAGATCAGAAGGGAAATCACTGATGCTCTACAGTGCAGTGTTTCGAAGCCATGGTGCTCACTAGGAGAAATTAAGTGCATTTTAAATTACTCTATTTTCAATTTACATGGATTTATTGGGATGTGACTGCATTGTAAGTCAAGGGTAAGTGTGAAGACTCTAATGTTTACATCATCATCCAAGCATTGTTCTAAGCACTAGGACATACTGCCTCATGAATCCTTACAAATCCTTACAACAAGCCCATGTAGAGGGCTGCTGTTTTCATCCCCATTTTACAGCAGGCACCTTAGACCTAGAGTGTTGTAGAACCTGTGCCACTAGGCTGACCTGCCCTGCCCTCTGTCCTGCTGAGGCCCCCTCCATCCTCTAGGCTCCTGCTGCTCTTCCTGGGTCGTCTTTGCCTTCTTTAATGCAGCTGGGTCCTGCTTGGTCCCCAGGGCCTGATTGTCCTCCTCTGATGTGAAGAGCTGGCGAGATAACATCTTGAATCTCCACTTTGGGCTCTTTGGTCACATCCTGCTTAGAAAAGGTTAAGTTCCCCTTGTCAGCCTGACCTCTGAAATATCCCTGGAAAGATTGCTAATAAGGTATCCCAAAGGAGGGCCAAATCCTGGGAACAGAGTCTCAAGATTCTTTGGTTAGAGCATATTGCCTGCGTTATTTAATAGTAAATATCTTCTCATATACCCTTACACAATTTTGGTTAAGCCTATTGCTAAGTATTTTACACCTTATATTGTTACTTTTGTTGCCCTTTAAATTTCACTGCACCTGATAACTGGAGATTTTTATAAATTCACACACACATAATAGATTTGTATATCTATTTTATATCCAGCTAGGATACTGTTAGCAGTAATGATTCTGATGATTTTCTTGTTTCCATATACACAGTAATGACTTCATATATGATAATTTTAAGTTTTTACTTTTTAATTTCTTACTCTTTGCCGATTGTCTTGCCTCATATCTCTTGGATAATATTAACAGTGGTGATAGTGAGCACACTTTTCCTCAGTTTAAAGTGGGACCGCCTTTCACGGTTTCCTATTTAGCGCTACCTAAGGGATGAAATAGACATGAACATTTTAAACAGATCCATATATTCTGACTTCGTGTTATCAAGGTTGGTTTATTGATTTTTCTCAAATGCTACTTCAGCATCTATGAACCTATATATGATTTTTTTTTCCTTAGAGCTATGTATATGAGAGATTATGCTCTTTTCCCACTGCTGAGTTATCTGGGCAGTGTAATAATAAACTCCACCAGGTCATGATGTACACTGTATCAGTTTTAAATGTTATTGAATTTAGGTTTGATAACTAATGTGACATTGATCTATGGTGGATCTTGTTTTGTATAGTGGCTTTTGTATCAAAAGTTTTGATAGATTGAATTATACTAGTTTCATAATTTGAACATTTTCCTCCTTTTCTATTATCTTAACAATCTGCATTAGAATTCCGTGCTTCTGAGGATTTAGCATAATTTCCCCATGGAACTCCTCTAGGTCATTATTGGAGTTAAATCTGTCAACTCTGTCTATTTCCTACAGGACAGGTGCACTTTGATTTTTCTCTATCTTCTGAGTTCTAAATTACATTTTCCTAGAAAATATTTTCATTCGTGTTTATAGGATTCATTTTCCTCTATCTATGGCGATTGTCTCCGTGTCATTTACCATCCTGGGTACATGCACTTTGTCCTTCCTCTCTTCACTGGCCTAGTATTAGCTGGCTGTAGGTTAGATGCTGAGGGGAGAGGGCTCTGGGCTGGAGCCGAGTGGAGATGTTTATTAGGGAGAGCCACAGTGCTGAGAACACACCCCAGTAGGAGGGAGACATGGCGGCTGGAGAAGCAGAGGGAGGAGTCCTATTGTGACAGCCAACTCAAGGGACAGGAGAGGACGACCTTCAAAGTTGTCCCCATTAAGGTGGGGAGGCCTGGCCTCTGATTCTGCTTTGAACGGCCAGTGGCTGTGCACTACTCCACTAGGGCTTGACCCATTTCTGAGACATTAGGCTCCACTTGGACAAGGTTGACAGCTAAAGGCTTTCTACATGGGACCCTTCCAGTGGCTGGGGTGACAGGCAGCTCTCACAGGGGAGAAAAGGAAGTGGCTCACTTGTGTTCCCACTTGGCTTATTGAGGTTTTACTTTGACTTAATTTAACTGTCTTCTGGTGTTTCTAACATCATTTTCTGCTTTTATTAACCCCCTCTGTTTTAATTTTTTAGAATCAGATGCCAAATTCATATTTTGTGCATATTTATTTTTAAATATTTTAAAGCACATATTCTTTTTAAGTCTTTCTAAATTTTACTGGCACTGAAATAGAACATGAATTGAGCAAAATCCCCCCCAAAAACAAATTTTTAAAAACCCAAGAATACACAAAGACATGAATATAAAATCTAACCTTTCTCCCCAGCCTTAAAGCAGTTTAAATTTCCCAATTCTTGGTTTTAATTTATCTAATACAGGGCATAAATGAGCGTCAAAATAATTCACAGCAATACACACAACACTCCCCAAGGTCAGGTGGGGGGCGGATCCAAGGAGGCACTGGACTGAGGCACTGCACAGAGGCACAGGACATCCCCTTAGGGAATGAATCCTGGGGAGAAGGCAAATAGACACATTAAAACTAAATGCCAATTCCTTTCAAAATGGATTGTATGACCTATAGTGACAGGTAACATCACTAATACTGAAGCTTCTTACATTAAATTTCTGGCAAAATATCCTTTTATAATATAGTATATGCTTCCCAGGTGTGGGGGTGGTAAAGGACAGGAGGCCAGAATGATTCTACCCTAAGACTAATATTTTCTAACTGTGCATTAGCAAGAAAGGTAAAAAAATTAATATTGAGTTAGAGATCACTAGAATATATAATACTGCTACAAAGGAAAAAAGCACACATGAGACAGAGAGGAAGAAGATATTCCTGGGTTGAGGGCAAAGCATGGGGGTGCAGAAGGGACCAGGCCAGAATCCCCGGCAGCTCTATGGTATGTAGGCCATGGGAAAGCACAGTTATTGACAAGACCTGGGTTAGAGGTTTGTGAGAGGCAGGGCCCAGGCAGGGGTGACCGGAATGAACTACCCGGCACTGAGAGAAGTAAACTGTAGTCTCAGAGGCATGGGCTTCTTTACCATAATTAGCCTCTTCTGTTCACACCCTAATTGAGCCTACTGCTGTCAAGATCTAGTGCTCACCATAATTAAGGCCCAGATGGCTGTGAAGCAGGAGCTATGGCCCAAGTAGTTCTGATGGGGGAAGTGTCCTAGAATGGTAGGAAAAATACTGACACAAGGTATGAACATTTCCTCCTTTTGGCAAGAGCTGTATATGGGGCTGGCTCGGCTTTTGGGTACTCGTCCCTACTGTTCTAGCTGGAGGTGATTTAGGGATTGGAAGGGGCAGAGGCAGATCCAGAGAGGAACTAGGGACCTGAAATAATATGAGGTACCACTACCCAAAGAGTTCACTGGATTGAAGTTTAGGTTCCCACAAGCCACTGGAGTAGGCATTACCCATTCTTGCCTGAATAAAAGGGCCAATGACCTTACAGGATGTGAAGCCTCTTGAAGGCACTGTCTCCCCATTCTACACTAGGGAGAAACTGAGTCCCTGAACTCAGAGAAAAGGCTTATTGGAAATGAGTTTGTAATAGGCCAAATCTGGGAGGTAGAAAATGACTGAATAGATCTTTGTTCTCCAAGCATTACAAAGTATCTAAAAGGGATTGGCTCTAGGAGACCAAATCTAGGTCAGATGACAGTGTCAGGGCCCTGCTTTTTTTAAACCCTGTAATATTCCCCACTCCTGAAAATCACATGACCTGGAAGAGGAAGGCAGTGGTGGTATACAGTAGTGGGGATAGTTTTTAACCTACTCTATACTTAAACGTCATTGAGCAACAGTTAAGTGTAGGGGTTTTTGCCTAATCAAGTAGAAAGTGTCTCTGAGCTTGGGAAGTGGTCTATTCTAGCAAACTAGATTAAACAGGTTAAAGAGGGGAAAGGGGTTCTCACTGGCACCACAGTGGGCCATTTGTCTTCCCAGGCAATTAATTTAGCAGTGCCGAGGGGTAGGTTTGGTCCCATGGCTGCACTGAATGCTTGGCATGAATCTAGTTAGTGGCTCCAGCACAGTGTGAGTTAGACAAAGGTATGGGAAGTATAAGGAAGAATAAAGAAGGGATTCCTAGAGGCTGGGTGTCTCTTACATGGTTACATGAACTCAAACTGCTCATCAATGCGCTGCTTGGTGTTGCAGAGTCTTGTATTTATCTCGGCCCGGTCGCATGTTCTCAGCATGTATCACGTCACCGGCGGTCTTCTTGGATTCATCACGGGCATTGGGCAGCTCTGAAGTAAGAGCCTTCCGGTGCTTCTGCACTCGCTCACTCTTCTCTGCCTCGGTAGTTCGTTCCTCCTCCCTGCGGTCCTTGGCCATAGCATCAGCCCGCAGGGCAGCACTGGCTTCCGCCCCCTTCTCATCCTGTTCATCCTGCGCATTCTCTGCAGGCTCTGCGACGCGAGGTGTGCTCATGGCAGTCTTCAACTCGGCACGAGTCTTCTCCAAGTCTTCCTGTACCGTTTGTGCCTTCTGTTGCCACGCCACAGCCTCACTCTCCTCCTGTCGGGCCATCTCTAGCTGAGAGATCCGAGCTGTCAGCTCCGCCATTTCTGAAGCCAGTTGTTCTTGAGTCTTCTTCTGGTCCCTGGAGGCCTGCAGCAGAGCCTCCTTAGCCTCTTCAGCCTCTTGACGCTCCTTGGCCAGCTTTTCAGCCTCACTCTGGGCACGCTTCCGTTCCTGCTCAAGTTCCATGGCTGTGCGGGTCTGTTCTTCCAGTTCTTGCTGAGCCTTCTTAGTCTGTTCCTCAATCTGCTTCAGCTTCTCCATCAGTTCTTCTTTCTCCCGTTCAATCTTCTCTGTCATCTCACGCTTCTTCTTCTCATTTTCCAGCAGGGCGCGCTCCATCTGCTTCTGGTGCTTCTCCGCTCGGGCCTGTGCCTTCATCTGCTGCACTTCAATGGTGCCAGGCTTGCGGCGGCGCATATACAGCTCATGGTTTCCCCATGCACAGGGCTAAGATCCCCTTATTAATCCTCAGCCGAGGAGCATTAAAGACAAAGTCCGGGGCCTTTTTGTCAATAGATAAAGCACATATTCTTTATAACTATCTGTATTCTGTAGGTGCTGACATTGTTCCCCTAGAAAGTTTGTATTTCCCTCTAAAGGTATTTAAGAGTTTAAAAAATTTGTAGGTGAAATAATTATTTTGGTTTTAATTTCTATACTTATTGCCTTTGAACATAAGTCATCGCATTATTTCTATTTGGAATTTGTTGGAGTGTTCTTGGAAGGCATTTTTAATCTTTAGGCTACTTCGATGATATCAATTGAAATACACATTATTCAGGCATGATATATCTTATTCTTTGCCCTTTTTTTTTTTGTACAGTGATTGAACTCAGGTCCTTTAGCGAGGCAGGCAGCAGTACCACTGAGTTAAATTACCAGCCTCTTATTTCTTTCTTTACTCCACACTTAATGCCTTTGGCCTAAATTCTAGCTTACCTTGTACTTAAGATAACCTGTGCATTTTTTTTTGCATCTTTCTAGTACACCTTAGCACAAACTTCCCATTTCCAATCTTTCTATATAATTATTTTTTAGATATGTATTTTGTTGCATAGACATAGATATTGCTTTGTGATCCAATCTGAAGTTTTTAATTTTGCTATATAAATTAAGCCATTTGTGTTAATGTAAGAAGTTTAGCTTTAGTTCTGTCAGTTTAATATTTTCTATAGAGAAATCTTCACTGCTTTAGGCTTTTTTCCAGATTTAATATAATGGACAAAATATATATTTTATACCTTAATAGTTATCTTCATTTTAGTAATCATTTTAATAGATCAGCACACAACTATAGCCATTTTTATTAGCGCATGTTTGTGATACATAATGAATACACATTCATCCCAGGGAGTTGGTACATGTACACATCACATTCTAACCTTTATTTCCCCTTTGCCTATCCCTCTGGCTCTAGATCCTCTTCCCGTTTGTGCAAGGGCTACACACCTCCCTGTATCCTATTATCTGTCTACATCTTGCTCTTTAAATTATGTATACTTTGTTTCTCTCATATAAGAGAAACCATGTGATATTTAACCTTTTGTGTCTGATTATTTCACTTAGCATTATTGTCTCAAGTAATCTATGACTCCATTGTGCATAAATCCCACATTTTCTTTATTCATCAACCATTTCCAAGGTTATTAGTTGTGCTGCTACAAGCATGAGTATGCGTGTTATGACTATATTATGTTTTCTTTCCTCTTTTGGAATGATATCTAGAGGCAAATAGCTAGGTTGAAAGGAATTCCTTTTTATTTATTTGGTACTGGGATCGTACTCAGGACCTTGGAATTTCTAGTTTATTGAGTAATCTCCACACTGATTTCCATAGTGGTTGTACTAATTTACATTTCCAAAAACCATTGGAAGAGTTCCTTTTTCTCTGCCTTGCCAGCATGTTCTTGATTTCTTGACGACTGCCATTCCTTTTGGAATACAATAGAGTCTCAATGTTGTTTTAATTTGCATCTCTTCAATGGGCAAAGATGCCGAACAATTTCACATCCTTAGTGGCTATTTGTATTTCTTCTGATGAATGTCTCTTCATTTCAATTGCCCATGTTTTGATTGGGTCTTTTAGTTTGGGAGGCCTAATTTGAGTTTTTTACTTTGCCTTGCAAATGGGGTTCTGCTAAGACTTGCCTATGTCTGTCTTCAAGAATTCTACCTGTCTTCCAAAAGATTTAAGTATTTGTCTTGATGTGTAGGTCTTTTTGATATATTTTGACTTCAATTTTGTATGTGGTGATAGGTATAGAGGTCTAGATTCAATCTTCAACATGTGGCTAACTAGCTTTCCCAGCAACATCTGTTCATGAAGTCATCTTTTTTCCCCAGCATGTATTTTTGGCCCCTCTGTCAAAAGTTAGATGGCTGAATGTTCCTGGTTGCTCCTGAACCTTCCATTCTATTTCGTGGATCTCCATATCTGTTTTTGTGCCAGTACCAAATTGTTAACACTGCACATTGTAATACAACTTGAGCTCTAGGATTGTGGTATCTCCTGCTTTGCTCTTGTTGCTAGGATTGCTTTTGCTTTCCGGGTCTCTTCTGGATCCATATATATATATATTTAGAGTTGCTTTTCATACTTCTGTGATAAATGTTGTTGTCTCATTTTGATTGCATTGAATCTATAGTTTTGGTAGTGTGGCCATTTTGACAATATTGGTTTTACCTATTCAGGAATAGGGGATATTGCTCCAGTTTCTGATGTTTTTCAGAATGCTGTAGTTTTCATTGTAGAAGTCTTTCAGGTTCCTTGGTTAAGGTAACCTAAGTATTTAGTTTTTTGGAAGCTATTGTGAATGGTTTTGTTTTACTGATTTTTCTTGGTACGTGCATAGGAATACTATTGATTTTTGTATGTGAATTTTTTAATCCTTTTTGCTGAATTTATTAGTTCTAGGCGTCTCATGGAATTTTTTTGTATTTTCTATTAAGGGATCATGTCATCTGAATAAAGATAGCTTGACTTCTTCCTCTCTTATACTTGTCTTATTTTTCTCTTGCCAGCCTGCTCTGGCTAAAATTTTGACCACTATGCTAAACAGGTCTGATAGGAGTGGATGTTTTTATTTCTGATTTTAGGGGAAAAGCTTGTTTTTGTTCACCTAATATATTGACAGTTCGTTTGTCATGAGTGGCTATTATCTGATTTAAGTAAGGTCATTCTATATTTTCTTCAGCATTTTGGTGGGGGGGTCCTGGGGATTGATCTTAGGTCCTTGCTCTTGCAAGGCAGGTGGCAGAACCACTGAGCTAAATGCCCAACCCTTCTTCAGCATTTTCATCACTAGTGGATGTTGGGTTTTGTCAAAGGCTTTGTGCCTATGTTCTTTAATCTTTATTAAGTTTATGGGTACATTTTAGGTATGCAATACAGTTACATTCATCATTGGGATCTTGTAGGTATACATGACATACCAGGTTATTTTTCCCCATTTTTCAGCCCTCCCCTCAGCCCCTTACCCACCCTTCCCTGTTTACAAAGACATTGTTTCCTTATTTTTCGTTTTCACATTTTTTCTTTTCCCTTTCTACCTTCCCCCTACCCCTTCCACTTTTTTTAGACTTTTCTTCCTGTTGCACAATATCAATTTTACATTTGATCCTTATTTACACTTTCACTTTTTCACACCAGAGAAACTATTTGGTGTTTACACATGTGCAATTTAATTTCACTTAAGAGTATGGTCTCAATGTGCATCCAATTAGCTATGGCTCTCTCTAGTTTCTCATTCTTTATGGCTTGAGTAGTATTCCATTTTGTAGAAAAACCATATCTTTATGAGAGGCCATTGGGCTGTTTCCCAGTTTTAGCTATTACAAACTGTGCTGCTATACACATGGGTGAGCATATATCACTGTGGTATGATTCTTTTAATTCTTTTGGGAAGATACCCAACAGAGGGATGGCTGGGTCAAACGGGACTTCTAATCCTAGTTGTTTGAGGTATCTGCATATTGATTTCCACAGTGGCTGCACCAGTCTGCACTCCCACCAACAATGAAGAAGGGTTCCTATCTCCCACAACCCTGCCAGCATTTGTTATTGGTTGATTTCTTGATAACAGCCATACTTTCTAGGGTGAGATAAAATTTCAGTGTTTCCCATCTGCCTTTTTTTCCTCTCATTGAATTTATTGGTACATTTTATAGGTATACAGTAGTTACATTCATCGTTGGGATCTTGCACCTTTACATGAGGTCTTGGTTCTCATTTTTTCCCCTTATCCCTGCCGTCCCTGCCCTCCCTTCACCCCCCTCTTCCTCTCCCCATTTACAAACACTTCATTTCCATTTTTTCATTTTCTCATTTTTTTCTTTTCCATTATTACTTTTCCCCTACAACTTTAGCTCCTTTCTTCCTATTTCACATTGTCAATTGTATCATTAGGATCTTATGTACTATTAGTTTTTCACACCAGAGAATCTATTTGGTATTTACACATGTGTGACTTATTTCACTTAGAAGTATATCTCAATATGTATCCATTTTCATACGAATGAATCTAATTTCTCATTCTTTATGGCTGAGTAGTATTCCACTTTATAGAAAAACCACATCTACTTTATCCAGTCTCCAAATGATGGGCAAATGGGCTGTTTCCAAGTTTTAGCTATTACAAACTGTGCCACTATAAACATAGGTGTGCATGTATCACTGTGATATGATTCTTTTCTTTTGGAAAGATACCCAGCAGAGGGATGGCTGGGTCTAATGGGACCTTGAATCCCAGCTCTTTGAGGTATCTCCATATTGATTTCCATAGTGGTTGCACTCCCACCAACAATGGAGAGGGTTCCTTTCTCCCCACAACCATGACAGCATTTGTCATTGATTTCTTGATAGCAGCCATTCTTTGTGGGGTGAGGTGGAATCTCAGTGTTGTTGTCCTCTGCATCTCTCGAATGACCAGTGATGTGGAAAATTTTTTCATATTTGCTTGCTGCTTTTACTTTTTTGGCTGAGAAATGTCTGTTCATTTCAGATGCCCATTTTTGAATCGGGTCTTTATATTTGGGGGGCTGATTGCTTTGAGTTCTTTATATATTCTACATAATAGTCCTTTGTCTGAGGAGCAGCTGGTAAAAATTTTTCCCACATTGTAGGTTGTCTTAGTTCTGTTGATGGTTTCTTTTGCAGCACAGTTGTTTTTTCCTTTTATTGAGTTTATTGGTACATTTTACGTATACAGTACAGTTACATTCATTATTGGGATCTTGTACTCCTACATGACAGGTGGTCTTGGTTCTCATTTTTTCCCCTTGTCCCTGCCCCCCTATGCTTTTTAATAAGATGAGATCCCAAGTTGTTGATTCTTTCCTACTAGTTCCTGTGCTACTGATAATTTGTTCATAAAATCTTTTCCTGTGCCAATGTCTTCAAGCATTCTGCCTATCTTCCAGCAAATTTACTCTTTTTTAATATTTAGATCTTTAATCTACTTCAATTTTAGTTTAGTGCATGGTGAAAGATAAGGGCCTAGTTTTAATCTTTGGCAGGTTGAAATCCAGTTTTTCCAACACCATTCATTGAAGAGACTATCCTGTCTCCAGGAAGGATGGTCAGCTCCTTTGTCAAAGATGAGGTAGCCGAGTACATCTGGAGTTGGTTTTTGTATCTTCCAGTCTGTTCCACTGATCCTCAGATCTGTTTCTTTGCCAGTACCATGCTGTTTTTTATCACTCCATCTGCCTCTCTTGAATGGCCAGTGATGTTGAACAATTTTTCACATGGATTATCAGCTGTTTTTACTTGAAAATATCTGTTCATTTTAGATGGCCATTTTTGAATTGGGTCTTTATATGGGGGGGTCTCTTTTAGTTCTTTATATATTCTAGACAGTAGACCTTTGTCTGAGGAACAGCTGGGTTGTCTCTTAGCTCTGCTTGTGATTTCTCTGGCAGTGCAGAAGCTTTTTAAAAAGATGAGATCCTAGTTGATTTTTTGTGCTAGTTCCTATGCTACTGAGGATTTGTTCATAAAGACTTTTTCCTATACCAATACCTTCAAGAGTTCCTCCTATCTTCCAGCAAGTTTAGTGCTTGTTTTAATGTTTATGTCTTTAATCCACTTGAATTTTAGTTTAGTACGTGGTGAAAGATATGGGTCTAGTTTTAATCTTTGACAAGTTGAAATCCAAGTTTTTCCAACACCATTAAAGAGGCTATCTTTCCTCCAGTGAGGGTGTTTGGCTTTGTCAAAGATGAGGTAGTTGAGTATGTCAGGAGATGTTTCTGCATCTTCTAATCTATTCTCCACTGATCCTTGGGTCTGTTTTTTCGGGTTTTATTAAGATGATCATGTGGCTTTTGTCCTTGATTCTGTTTATGTGGTATATTTATTGATTTCTATATGTTGAACCATCCTTGCATCCCTGAGATGAAGCCAATATGGTCATGATGTATGATCTTTTTTTTGATTTGTTATGTTCCATTTGCCAGTATCTTGAGGATTCTTGCATCTATGTTCATTAAAGATACTGGCTTAGTTTTCTTTTCCTTTTTGGGGGGAGGCAGGGTTAGGTATCTGGTTTTGGTATCAGAATGTTAACTTCCAGAAATGAATTCATTAATATACATTCCCTTTCAAATTAATTGAGTTTGAGGAGTACTGGCATTAGAGCACGCTTAGAACTTTCTAACAGCTTTTAAAATTCTGTCCTTGTGTTGGACTTCTGGGGTTTTAATAGTCATGAGTCATGGAGGGGTTCTTTTTTGATCATGGCTATTTGGGATTGTATAGACCTCACCTGTATGAATTCTTTCTCCATAGTTGGAAGCTTTTCTGCTATGATGTCTATACAAAGGTTTTTAAAATACCATTTGTCTCATTTTCCATTATTTAATTCCTATTATACTTACGATAGTTTTGAGTCATCTAGCAGCTGTTTGATCCATTCTGCATAATCTCTTGTTTATAAGGAATCCTGTATCCCTATTTCCTTGTTCTGATACTCTCTCCCTCACCTTGGTCACTTCTGCTGTCCGTACATAAATAACATTTTTTATAACCTGAATTTCATATTTGGTACCCTTTCATGACTGAATTCTTTGCTAATCTGTCATTCATGTTTTGTTTCACTTTGGTTAGCTCAGTTAGCTTTGTGTCAAACTGATAATTTTCTCAGTTATATCCATTATTTTTTTAATTACATCATCTTTGCGCCCACTGTCAATCTGGTTTTCTTCTTTCATCCCTTTCTATGTTTTAGGCCTTTGAGTTATTTCCTCCCTATTGATACAAAATGGATCAGTTTTGAGGGAGTTAGGAGGTTTTGGAGGCATTTGTTACCTCATTTTTTCATGATTCTTTTATTTCTGTGCTGAAGGTTGAGGATCAGTTAAAGCAGAAACACTGTTACTTACATGGAGATCTCTGTAGAGACTGTTTCGCAGTGATGTGACCTTGGCTTTGGTAGCATTTTGATACTTATTTACCTCTTCAGCATCTGCAGCTTTATTGCAAGGACACAATCCCTACTGGTCATAGCAACACCTACAGCTCTAACCGTATTTCATTTGTGCATATTAAAACTTGCTTTAACAATTCAATCTTTCATCAGTCATCCAAAAGACTAACATACTATGGACAGACAGATGTAGTGGGTGGGGAAAAGCAGAAAAAGAGGTCGATCGGGAAGAGAGAAATATAACAAATTGAAGAAAGATTAAACTCATGATATTTTTATAGCTACAGTAGAGGAGTAGGTGGAGAGGAGGTTTGAGAGACTATTTATGGGAGTGGAGAGGACAGAGGGAGGCAGGGAGGGGGGTGCAGTTGGAGCTTGAGGGAAGCTGTGAGAACATCAGGATATGTTAATATGCTAAAGAGTTAGAGTTTGGATACCCACTTTTTGTGGGACTTACCCTGACATGCTCATAAAGCATTGGTTCATTCTTGTTGTTTCCACATGTACAGACCTCTCACATAGGTGCTAGATGGAGGACAAGAAGAAAGGAAGAAAGAAAAGACAACCACCAAAAACCAAAACCAAAATAAACTCCTTGCAGTTGTAAAAACACAAAATTAAAGCAACCTCGCAGCCCTATTTATATTGCAGTCTGAATTCAACTAGTGAGTTTTAAACATGTTCACGGGGGCGGGGGAGCTTTGACTTGCAGAGGGAGACTGGATAGAGCCCTGGGTCTGGCTCTTTCCTGCACCTCTGCCCTCCTTGGAGCATCACTGGGACTGCAAGGCACTTCTCACCTTCCTTCATCCACAGCCAGCTCCTGCAGGTCTCTGAGCTCATACCCTCCATGGGTCATTCAAATGCCTGTGAGTGAGGAGGCTTGGTGATCTGCATCGACCACTGAGCCACCTTCCTGCTGCAAGCCGCACTCTGGGCATGGCTAACTAGAGGCTTTTGGCTTTGTCTTTAAGATCAGACCCCCGCAGTTAAGGTGTACAGGGGAGGGTGCAGTATGGCAGGCTTACTACTTTTCTGCTGATTTCAGCATGCGCTCTCAGTTTCTGCTCCCTTCCCTGTACAAGAAACTCTGTGGCTGCTTCTGTATTCTCTCTCAAGGCTTCTGGTAAGGGCATCACAGGATGACCATGGCCCATGTGCCACTGTCGGGGCTCTCCACCTATGGCGTTTCTTTTCTTTCCACAGAGCTCACTTTCTTGCCTGGAGTTAGGTGCCTTATGGGCTGCTGCATTCATCAGCCTCCACCTGGGCGTGGGTTGTGGCGGGGGACTGGTGTTCGAGTACCTGACGGTGAGCAGTACGTCTCGTGGACCACAGGCCTAGTGTTTGGGGGAAGAATGGGTCAATGTGATTATTGGCCTCCCTGGAGCTTCATCATTTGCAGTTATTGCCCATTCTTATAACCCCATGGAACTACAGCTTTCTCCACACTCAAATCCAGGCCCTAGTTAGGATCGGATGCTTGTTTGGAGCTTTCCTAAGGAACCCCCCTTCCCCAAGTGCTTTCTCACACACTGCTCACTAGCTTTCCGTTTCTCTGATGCCTTCAAACATCTCATTTTTTGCATTCCTTTCCTTGGTTGAAGGTAGGAAGCTTAGCAGCCTATTCCAGTGGCCTGGTCTCTGAAGTGCTGGCTCCTTTCCTCCAGGAAATAGATTCTCTCCCAAGATGCCGTACGTGACAGACCTGTGCTCTGTCTATCATGGTTTAATTCTTTTAAAATATGAGTACATGTTTGCAACGTATGACATTTATATTCATCTTAGGGAGTAGATACAGGTCTAAATTATTTTTTTACTCCCCTTCCCATTTTCACTGAAGTCCCTTCACCTACCCTATTCTCTAGATCCCCTTTTCCCCATCTTTATTTTTAATATTTATGACATGTTTACATTCATTGTGTTTTCTCAAATTCTTGTCATTCATTTTGTTTTTATGTCTATCTTTGGTGTTTTTATTTTCCAAAATTGTCTTCCCAAATTGTGTTCTTCCCCTCAGATATTGTCCCGAGTTTTGTTAGCTCAAATGTTATCTCCTTCTAAAGTTTTGCCAGCCCTTTATATCATGCTTTGTGAATTTTTCTTTGTAGAACCATTAGGTTATCCTAATCCTTGGCAAAATATATGCTCATGATTTTCAACTAGTTGATATTTTTCTGATGAAAATTTAAAATTTCAGTGTTATTTTTTACCTTTTTCTTATGTCTTTGTATCAATTTGGTTTTATTCATCTTTGATCAATTTTTTTTTTTTGGTACCGGAGATTGAATTCAGGACCTTGCACTTGCCAGGCTGGTGCAGTGCCACAGAGCTAAATCCCCAGCCCGTGAGGAGCATTTTTAATGGAAGCTGTTTTCAGGATATTCCTTTGTGGCAGAGCAGCAAAGGGTTTTCCAGGCTTTAAAATACAAGGGTTAAGATCCTCACAGGCAGATGTCTTCCTGCAAATATGGCTTATCTAGGGGGCCTTTGTGTGGCCCACCCCACTGTTCCTGCGACCTTACCTTACACACCCAGGAGGTCAACTCTCACCAGCCCTGCTCATCCTTGTTTCCATATTTGTATTATAAATAAGTGACAATTTTGCAGTTTGGGCACCCTTCATTTTCAAGCAGAGTACACCAAGGTAACTTCTTAACACCTCTGAACTCTTTTACAAGTCTTTATATTCGTCTTTACTTTCTGCTAACTGCTTTAAGGGACTTCTTAGCATATTTTTAAGCCTATGAATTGTATTTGCCCCCTACTGTAGATAAAATTGAGTTTGCGGGGTTTTCATTCTTTTCTTTGCTTCATATAATATCCAGGAGAAGGAAAAGACTGACTTGCATAACTATTTATATCAGATGTTCTGAAGACTGACCTCAGAATCAAAGTTGGATTATGCCATTCCCAGTTTCAAGTACCTCTGGTGGCTTCATACTTAAGAATAGACTCTCAACTCATGTTTATTGTGAGTTATGTCTCAGGTGATGGCTTAGTTTGTTTATCTCAGCTTCACTGTAATCTCGCTCATGTACTCCATGCTCTGTATAGATTGGCATTCTTAGCATACACCAGTTTCTTTACGTTAGCTCCTTCTCATCCTTTAGGCTGAACTTAAACACATTTTTAGAGATGCTCCTCAACCCCCTGCCCTCACGCACAGGAACTGATTATCTCATCCTTTGTTTTTAATGCCTTATGTAAGGCCTGTCAGAAATATGCACCCCCAAAACTGGAAACATTAATAAAAGAACACATGAAGTCTTTCATATATGGATGTCATTTCAACAGGAAACTATGAGGACCTATTTGTATCAAAGGACCTATTTGTATCAAACTGGAAGGGAGTTTGGAGATTATTTCTTAGATTTGGTTTTGGGAGGACATTAATCTTCAAATGTAGGAAGTTTAATCTTGTAGAAAAATGTTTTCACCAAAAAAAAAAAAATCACTTGGGGAGCTTGCTGAAACATATGGAATCCGAGGCTTTTACAGAATTAGGCTATAGAGTAGGACTAGAGAATGTGCTTTGAATTGTTCTTTATCACCCAGGCAGTTCTTTTCATTATAAAATGTTAGAAAATATAATCTTATAAAGGTGGTGGATTACTGTAGAAAAAGCTGGGATTCCTTGGCTAAGAGTAGATGAAGCTGTAGCCCTAGCAAGATTCTTGTGGAGTTCCTCAACCCCCACAGATGCTAGTCTTAGACTGGCTGAGGGAGATTTATGCATAAGTGGCCAAAATCTTGGGTTTAACAAAATACAAAGTGTTTTTACACATTTAGGGCTAGCAGATACTGTGAGAATGGGCAAGGCAGCACATAGCCATTGCAAATAAACAAAAACCAAGGTAAAGCCACAAGAAAACCACAATCCCCCCAATGATAACAGCAAAAACAGTGGAAATAAACCCTCAAATTCTTGAAGCCTGATATATATGTGTATATATATATATATATATATACACACACACACAATGTATATATACACACAAACATATATACACACACACGTAAATACATCCATACATATATAGCACCACAGGACCAACAAGAAGTTTGATGAAGCGAACTGAAGTCCCTTATTAAATAATTAAAATATAAGGGCCTCAGTAATTAACATGAAGAAGCATCTTCCAGTTCCAAGAACAAATGAGGAGGAAATGGACTGTCCTGTCCCAGTCCATTCTCAGGACTGCAGGGAGCCTCACTGGCCAGAACATTCATCCGCCATCAGCAATTCCCCAGGCAGTCCTGGAGGAAGGAAACTGGTGGCTGCTCTGCCCTCCAGGCAACAGGAGATAAATGAGAAGCAAAAGGTCTGGTTTGTTTCTGGATCCTGGTGGAGGCTGCTATGGAAACAGGCTGGTTCTGGAAACGCACTCTAGACTGTCCTGAGAGGCTTGGAGAGGTGGGTGTGATCATCAGTATCTTTTTTAACATTTATTAAGTTACTTATATAATTTCATTGCATCCCTATATCCTGAAAGGGGTTAATCATCTCACATAATAATGACAGAACAGAGCTTCACAGATTGTATAACTCACCTGAAGGAACATAGCTACATTCCCTTAACCGATGCTTATTATTTCCTAAGTAAAAGATTTCAGATTTGAACCCCTATCTGACTACAAAGTACACATTCTTCCTTTAAGGGAAAATTTCAACTCTAACTACTCAGGTGCTATTATAAATCTAAGAAAAACTGCAATAATGTGGAGGAAAAATTGGCAAACAATATGAACTGATTTGTTTTGACTCTTTCCTAATGACATGTCTTCTAGTTAGTAACGATATGCACAATCTATAAACCCACTGAGTTTAGTTATTGTAATTTTTGATCTAGAATATCCATCTGATTGTTCTTTCTATAGATCCTATTCTAAATGCCTAGTGAAATTCTCCATTTGTCCTTTTTTCTACTTTTTAAAATATATTAATCATATTTGCTTAGAAGTCCTTGTCTGGTAATTCCAACATCTACCACCTGTGGTAGATCTATTTTTTGTGTGATTAAAAAAAAAAAGCTACCTGTGATATAACCTGTGATATAATCTATCATGTGTTGAGCAGTATTTATCTTGTGCCAGATATTTTTTTTCCCTCATTGAGTTTATTGGTACATTTTAGGTATATAGTATACAGTTACATTCATTATTGGGATCTTGTACCTTTACACAACAGGTCTTGGTTCTCATTTTTTCCCCTTGCCTCTCCCCTCCCTTCACCCTCTACTCCCCTCCCCTCCCCATTTACAAACATTTTATTTCCAGTTTTTCATTTTCTTCTATTTTCCTTTCCCCTACCCTTCCCACTTTCCCTACACCTTTAGCCCTTTTTCTTACTATTTCACAACGTCAATTGTCTCATTAGCATCTTATGTACTATTATCATTTTTCACACCAGAGAGACTATTTAAATGTGCATTCTTTTCAGCTCAAATGCCAGCATTTTCTCATCTTTGCACATACACATGCAAGTAAGGTGCATCCCTGAAGACACTTCAGTGTTGTTGGTAAAAGCAAAAGACCAGAAGCCACACAAATATCCTTTAACTGGAGACACAGTAAGTCATTCATGGTAAAGCATACAATAGATATTTTTGAGGGCCTACACTTGATTACTGAATGACTCTACCCCTTAATAGTCATGCAGAGACCAAGGAACAGCCACGACCTGTTAGAAAGGAATGAACCATTTGTGGATCATTTGCAATCTTTCTGCACCCCTGAGCAGATGGAGCAAGTGCGCACCTGACTTTGCAGATAGACCAAGAGGCAAAGCCTCTGATGGGTTAAGGATGTGTCCTATACTGTGGTGAGAAAGACAGAGGCTTAGAAGGCAGCTTTTGG